GGCTGGAGGTGGGCCCTCCGTCAGCCACACTCCGTTGGTTGTGGAAAGCCCAGAGGTTTGGGGGAGTGCAGCCCCTCGCTGCGGTCAGACCTTCAGCTGAACAAAGCCGAGCAGAGCCATGGGTGAGAAGCCTTCCGGTTTCACGCACTTAACTAAGCTTGTGCAGCGTGTTCATAGAATCACAGGCCGGTTTCAGCTGGAAGGGACCTTAAAGCTCATCCAGTTCCAACCCCCTGCCATGGGCAGGGACACCTTCCACTAGACCAGGTTGCTCCAAGCCCCTGTGTCCAACCTGGCCTTGAACACTGCCAGGGATGGGGCAGCCACAGCTTCTCTGGGCACCCTGTGCCAGCGCCTCAGCACCCTCACAGGGAAGAGCTTCTGCCCAAGAGCTCATCTCAATCTATCGGGTGTTCAGATTATATTTTTGCAGAAGGAAATACAAAATCTGGAGGAAGAGCTGTTTTGTCTGCTACTGAAGTTAGACCACAGCACCCCAGTCCTGCAGCCTGGGCGGCAATGGTCATGTTGTCCCTGTTCTCTCCGCTGTGATCTCAGTGGTAGGTCACCCTCTCCATTGCCCTGACGCTCCATGGATCTGCTCTGGAAAACAGATGTAAATGAGGAGATTGAAAGTCCACCCATCCTGTTGTCCTAGATGTGAGGTTGTTCACCCAGTGTGCAACAAGCCAGCCTCATGCACAGGGTCAGGATACTGTTTAATTCATACTTATGCAGAGCTGAGTGCTCCAAACCAGGCTGTGATTCCCAGGAAGTTTTGATGCTATGTGGATGGATCTTCTAGGGCTTTTTAGGATGGTTTGAAATTATGTAATGTTGTAAAACACTGTTGTTCAAACAGAACAGTTTTATTACTGCTTCTTCTCTCCCATTTTGTTTGAGATTATTATAAAGTATTTCAGGTTTCATGTAAGCAGTTTAATTCAGTGAACTTTAATCTGTGTGAATATTGGGGAAATATGTAAGTTATTTATGTAATTTTTTACATAATTTGCTTTCTATTGACTGTTTAAGGATCTTTTTTTATTATTATTTCAGTTTAAGCAACTGTTTATATTGAATTTGCTGTAAAGCCAGTGGCACTACCCAGACTCTCAGAAATTTATCATTATATAAAGCCATTTTCAAGAGCTTGCAGCATTCCTAAGATTTCCACTCACTTGTGTTTCAGTTACCATTTTCCTGGTAGGTGCTGCTTCCTGGCTGACTGTTTTTAAGAAGTTTTGGCTGAGATGGTCGATTTTGAGAACCAAGTGAGGGAAGTGTTGAAAACTTCTGGTCACCTTTTCTCTGGACCCCTGTTTTACGAGGAAAAGATTTAAGATTTATCAAGAGTGGATTCACATTTTGGATATTCATTTTGCTGTTCCTCTGGGGGAAAAAAAAAGTGATTACTTGGCCCAGTGTAGCTACAAAAATCATTTTTCACGCACATCTAAACTTCTAAAGATTTTAATGACTAAAGTACCTAGAGAAATGTCTCTCTAGCTTCACAGACAGCAGCTTTTACTGGGTCACCTTTGTGGAGTTACGTACACAGCCCAGTGTAGAAAGACTTGCCCTGTAAATAGTTGTTATTCTGAAGCAGAAGTTGGAATTACTGTTTCTGCCTCTGTTAGATCATTCATTTTTTATATCAACAGGTGATGTTCACATGATAGAAGCAGATGTTCTTCTTCGTGGTGGCCAGGAAGGAAATGGAGACCCTATCATGGCTCATCCACCTGAAACAGACAGTGACAACACATTGCAGGAATGGCTGAAAGAGATTGTCAACACGGATAAAGGCATCAAGCTGGATTTTAAGAGGTATCTCAGGAGAAAAAGATTTTTATATTGTTTGCGTTCTTGCTAATAAAAGTTTTACAATCAGAGCTAACTATGTTTTTGGTGATGGTAGACCAAAGTTTTTCTTACAGTGCAATTTAGTGTAATGCATTTTTTCTTGAACAGAAAATGAGCAAACAGAGTTAGAATTACTAAATGCATCACAAAAATAAAAGCTTTAGAAGTGTTTTGAGCTATAAATAATGATTTCATATTGGGTGATTTAGTTACCAAGTTGCTAATGAGCAGAGTTTTCCCATCAGGAAAACTGAAATGATGGTATCTATCTGGAAAGCTTGTGGAAAGTTTTCTGCTTGTGGAAAGAAATTGGGAAAGACAACCTTCCAACTAGGAAGTCCAGCAGTGTCTCCCAGGCTGCAAATGGGGCTGAGATGGCATCTCTGCTTGGCAGCACACAAATCTCTTCTGCTTTCTTGGTGGTGTTCTCTGCCATGGAAGGGGAATCAAAGTGCCAAACTTTTTCAAGGAGCTTCTGAAAAGCTTGCTGAAAGCTGAAGTTCATCATAATTTAGAAACATCATCCCATACTACCATGAGTATCTGTATTTTCCCAGAGCTGTTTATTTTTCCTTCCCCAAAGGAGGTGAATTCTGTTTTCCGATTAACTGCAGTACTGATAATCTCAATTCCAGAATTAGGTACGCTCCTTTAAATGTCTGATCTTGTAACACACAACAACGTGGTATTAGATTTCTTCAGCATGGTTTGTAATACAGAAAATTGTTCTTGCTTTTTCTGTGGTAGGGTGCATGTATATTGAAGTAAATTCAGTTTCTTTGGCCTAACTTATGAATTAAAATTTTCAGGGGTTCATTTAGAATTTTAACCATTAGCTGTTTCATTGCGTGTAATGGAAAATACACATGAAAACCCCATAGATTTCCTTGAAAAGCTTGAAGTGGGGTTCAAAGTGAGCTGAGATTTTTCATACATACGCCTCTGCAAGCCCTGACTTTAGCTTTCTCTGAATTTGCATGTGCAACATCTGTTTTTGCAGCAGATGGAGAATCCACCTCCACATTAAGAAAAGCTTCATCGGTACTTAAGTATGCTATAGAAATGCAAACCAAAATGCTAGACAGTTGTAAAATGTGATTTGTACCTGTTGTTCTGTGTAATGCAGTCACAGTTTTCATGTAAGAGTTCATGAAAACGCGAAAGATATGGACAGATTAAATCCTTTTATTGTTACAGAATCTGTAGGTGTCTGCCAGGGGCAGAGAAGGGGAAAAGACGAGAGAAGTAGGCATTTGTTTGAGGGTATTTGTTAGGGTTTGGCTGGTTTTTGTTAGGTTTGTGGTGGTGGTGGTTTGGTTGTTTTGTTGGGGTTTTTTTTTTCATTTTAATTATTGTTTAAATTGATTTTAAAATTACCTACCTATTTTCACAAGGAATTTCTAGCCAAGTGCAGTGATTTTAAAAGAGCTTTTAAAATTATGTTGCATTATAAAAGTCTAGTTGCGTAAAAGCATGTGAAAAATATAAGTGCACAGTGCAGTTGTAGCCAAATGAGTTATGTTCCTTGGCATTTCTTTGCAACTGGGAAGATAGGGAAGCAGTTAACCGTCATCTGTGTTGTTCAAACAGGCACTCTTAACAGTGCCTTCTCATCTCCTTCTTTTTCTTGGTGCTCCTGTGACACCAGGGGGACCAGTTTAGGATGTGGAACTGGGAAATTAACTCTCCAGATCAACATGAAGAACTTTCCATTGGCTCAACTCTCTGTTAGGTCTGCAAGATTTTGAGGAAAAAGCTGTAAGATAGGTCATTCAGAGCTTGCACAGCTTTCGGGAGAAAACACGGGTCATTGATGTTAGCAAGGAAATCACAACTTTGGCCATAATGATTTTAAATTCCTAAATGTTATATAGAGCATTAATTAATTTGTTGTGAGAGAAAAATACGTATTTTATTTGCATTCATACCCTTTCCCTGTTTTCCCACATTACCTTTCCTTCTACAATACTGCTGGTTTCAAAAGTTTCAGTAGGATAGAGAAAGGTTATTGTTTGCCCTGTGGTTATGCTTTTTCTTTTGATTTGAGAGAAGGGTGAGAATAGGTGACTTAAGTTATCTTATTAAATGCTTATGAGTGGTGCTGCATTGCTTGCTCAAGTGACTACATCTCATACTTGGTAACTACCTGTAGGATGAACAGCTAATGGGCAGACTTCTTCATGCTGCCACTATTAAGCCTTGCTTTTGAGCTGTGGGAACAAACCCTACCAGGGACAAAATGTTCAGATGGGTGCCCTTTCACTCTGCTGAAATTATCTGAAAATGTTCAGGTTTTGACTTTTTATTCTCCTAGTATAGGTGCATCATCTTGTGCAGATGTGAAGGGAACTGTCTGTTGACTGGATTTGAAAGAGTGATAAAAGCTTTAACACTTAAAGTGCTGTTAGGGTTGGGAGAGATTATTTTTATCCTTTGAATAGCATATAAACATCAGTGATATCTAGAGAATAAATAGAATAAATATATTTAAATTCATTCATTTCTAGTTTTCAGATCAGAAAGCCACAATTACTAGTTTGTGGCTAACTTCACATAATACTATGAATACTGTCTTCAGCCCAGTGGTCTAATCTGAACAAATCCAGTGGCTTTCTGCATTAAAATCCTTTGCAAGCATTCAATATCATCCAAGTCTTAACAAGTTACAAGAGCCATGAGGTAAGAGTTCATACTGGGAGGCAGGGAGATGAGAAACTTCCAGTACTGTTTACCAGCAGTAATAGTCACCTGGTGGTAGAAAGTGTCCTCAGGCTGACAGGTACAGCTTCACTCACATATCCGTATTGTGTATACACTGTACATTTCCCATCTTCAGTCCAAGTGAAGTGTTTCATCTCACTCATGTGTTACTGGTACAGCCTAGAAGCCGTACGGCCTTCCTTGGAGCTTCTTGGACACATGAAGCACGACTTGAGGCGACCCATTTGGATCAATGCAGATGTCCTACCAGGACCTAATGGCAGTAGCTCTGTAGTGGATGCAAAGGGGTTCATCGCCACTGTCACCTCATTTTTCCCAAGTGTGACCTTGTCACTAGGGTGGACAACTGGCTGGCACCCTGACAAGCACAATAAAGGTAAAGATAGAAAATTTAATGCTGACACTGCATAGTCTGTTTTCTCCAAATTAGTTTCATAATTGATTCAAAATAAGCTATATGCCATCTTATAAAAGATGGTAAGATTTTATCTTATAAAAGGTATCACATTCTATACATTCTATATTCTGGAAATTAAGATTTTCAAAATAAGTTTAGTTTTCCACTTCAGTACTGATGTTCTTCACTGAGAAAATGACAGTTCTTATTCATAATCATTGAGCCATTTCATTTTAGAATGATGTGATTTGTCACAAAACCGTTATTTGCTTTTGGTTTGTCTTACAACCAAACCATTTTGTGTCCTTATTTTGATACAGACTGTATTTGTGAAGAATTCTTTTTAATCAGATGGTGTTTACTGCAGGGTATGACTGGATGATGGTGAAGGAAATGGCTCAGATATGCAACACACTTCCCCAGCCTGTAACTTTCCCTGTAAGAGCAGCACTGGTACGAGTGTCAATATCTGAGCTATGCTGGTTAATCCAGCAGTCGGATAGGTAAGTTTGAGGGCCTATGTTTTCAGATGTCTTTCTTATAAAGGCATAGATTTGTTTATATAAAAACAGTTCAGTTATGTGTACATACATAGCCCAGAGAAGCTGTGGCTGCCCCATCCCTGGCAGTGTTCAAGGTCAGGTTGGACGGGGCTTGGAGCATCCTGGTCTAGTGGAAAGTGTCCCTGCAGGGGACAGGGCAGGGGGTTGAAGTGGATGAACTTTAAAGTCCCTTCCAACACAAACCAGTCTGTGATTCCATGATAAATATCCCAGTTACATTGAAAATATTTCTTTTTTTTTTTCTTTTAGTTTATCTTTCAGTTCTTTAGTTCCTTCAATTCTTAAATAGTTTTATGCAATGATTCTGACTTAGATGCTTTATGTTAAGAAAATACATTCTTTTTTCTCGAATTGGAGACTCACAGTGGTTTTTTCCCCTTTGTTGTTTTCTTCTTTTATATAGGTACAGCCTCACTGTTTGGACAGGAAAGGAAGATGTGTATTTTGTAGAAGATTTGCTTTACATCCGAGAAAACTTTGATAAAAGTAGGGTTTATTATGACATTTTAGAGCCACAGAATTCTGAATTCAGAAAAGCCATAGTAGAATAGTAAACAGGGAAGCAGTAAATAGGGAAGGTTAATAGTTAGCATCTTTAAATGTGAAGATTTGTTGGTCAAAGAAATGTGTTTTCCTTACTAGAAGAACTGTATAGAACACAGCTGATGGTATTAGAGTTTTTGTATAACACCTTACTGAAAGGCTTCTCAGTTAGAAATTTAGTGCCCTCTTAATAGTTCCTTACTCATGATCTGCATGTCCCCTCTTATTTCTCCAGTGGCGTGTAGTAAAGGCTAGTCATATTACCTGAATATTCTAGCACTTCTTCCCTGCAAGCGTATGAAGGGGAGAATGGCCCCAGCTTGTACTTGTGGACCAAGGTGATTTGCTGCTAACTGCTTTCATGTAAGCCGAAGTCTTAGGGACCCTCACTCTACTAAAGCCTGTTTCTGCTTTTTGTGGGGGAGGGCAAGAATCAGGACTGTGTTAATTACAGAACTATGCAGTTCCCATAGGGGTTATTTTGTAGCTCATCATGATACACTCCATTTTTAATGCCATTGCAATTTGATAATGTTCTTACTCCTGTGTTTGCAGTGAAGTAGCATGTTAGTACTTTCTTTTAGCTACAATTACTTCTGACATGTCTGCTGCAAATTATTGTAATTATTGTATGGTGACCCTAAGGAAACGCTCACTCCACACCTCAGTTACTCCAGATGAAGTGTTAAGGTCTGTGTTCCTGACTCAGGGGCAGTAACTCCAGCAAATGGGTGCAATAAGCAGCTGGGGGTAACGTCTCTGACAGCCACAGAAGAGCTTATTCATTAAAACCTCAAAGAAAGAAGCATTGTTTTTGGTTGTGTTTCCAGTGTAATTCAAAGTATCGTACCATATCATCTTCTGAATCTTGAACATTTTTGGGGCAGTTTTATGTTGTTTTTTATATCCTTATGGCTTGGCTCCCTTGAATTTTTCAGTGATTCTGAGAAAAAAAAAAAAGCTGCTGCTTTTGCTGACCAATTTTGAGTCCTCTCATTGCTGTAGCAGGAAAAAAAGTTGCATATGCAAATTCATAGTCTCAGTGGGGATATGTCGAAGCAGAATTAAAATGTGTTTTAAAAAGGTGTTCTTGTTACTATGTTTTTAAAATGTATGTTGAAGTCAGGTTTGTATTTTAAAATGGGCTGGCTTTTGGAACAGAAGACTGTAACTCACGCCATCAGGGGCAGCTTATGGAAGTGTTCAAAACCACTGATGCCTTCAGGAAGAACATACAGGAATTAATTAGAGTTCATCAGTGTGTACCCACACCTGGATTTCAGGAATTTGGGAATAAAATGGACTGTACAGCTCTAAAAAATATCTTCACTGTTCAATTTAAGATCTTAGCATGGTTTTTAAGTGGCTGAATATAAATTCACTTTTTTTTTCACTTGGGACACAACCTCTGAATGAGATCTGCAATGCAGTGCTAGCACAGGAGGTGCCATCTTTATGCTTAAGTTTAAAGTAAGTGATTTTGACTTCATGTTGGTAACTCTCAGTCCTCTGGTGCTGCCTTAGGGGTTGGGCTGTTGGTACATTGGCTTCCTGAACCACAGCTGGCCAAAGAGAGGTGACTCATGTAATAGGTGTCCTTTAGGAAACATGTATTTTGCATATAGATATAGATATGTAAAAATAAGGTTTAACACATGTAAAGGAGTATAAGACCTCTTTTAAAAAGGATTAATAGCTGGGTATTTTATCAGAACAAATAGTCATTAGAATAAGAATTTTCACTCTGAAAAAAACAAAGCAGAACTGATTTCTTAAGATTTACTATTGCCAAACCTCGTCTCCTTGAAAATACTACAGTGCCAGCTGAAAATGTGTGGCTGGGAAATATTTTACAACAGTCATTCCTTCCTCTAATTCTGGATTTCAACATTAGTTAGAATAATAATAATAATAATACAGTGTGAATGTCCTTATTAGGATGTGACTAATATTTGTGACTAATGTTGGCCTTTCTGTAACAATCCATGCTCTTCTGACATGAACCAAATAGCCAGCCAGTGGAATAATGGTTTACTAATGTAAGAATCCACTTATGTATAAATACCTACTTTTGGTTGAAAAAATAAATAGTTGTACTGCATAACAGATGAAGAAAGATGAAGGTCTTAACAAGGATTCATGATGGAGAAAAGGGACGGATTTAATGACTGTTTTGGTTACTGTTCTTCTGTGTAGCTGCATCAAAATATGGCAGTATTCTTCTGGAAGCACTACAGAATTGTCAAAGACAAAAATCAAAACAGAGCAACTCCGAAAGCCTTTCTCCTTAACACAAAAAACAGACAAAAAGTGCAGGGACGGCTAGATGGAAACTGTTACTTAAACTCTGAAAACTGCTTTTTTACAACATTGTTGTGTAGTGAGTTGCTGTCCTTACAGTTCTTAAACCAAAATATGAAGGTTTTTTAGATGATTACTGCCTTTTGTGAGGCCACCACTGCTTGTGTAGCAGTTACTTTCATTGTATGGTGGTGTGGTTTAAGCCAACCCAGGACGTAACGGTTTCACACAGCATTTTGTGGAGAAAATTGAAAGCGAAGTGAAAAAGAAACCCTAATGTTTTTCACCTTTTTAAACTTTGATTCCAAATCAGTCATCTCATCAGTGATGTGTTTTACTGAAAGCTGTAACCTGGGTTGGCAGGAGTGCTTGCTCACAGACATGTCACTCCTGTTTTATACAGTTCTTAAGTGTTTAAGGGCTTTATGGCATTAATCTGTCTATGAGATAGAGTGGATGACTAACACTAATTTTTCACTGTAAGGTGTGAGACCTAGCCCAATTTCTTAAGAGCACCTCTGAAGAGAAAAGGTTTCAGCTTGTGACTTTTTTTTGCCAAGATGCATAAAGAACACCTGGTTTTCTTTTTTCTAAACTTAAAAGTTTCAAGGAGGTATTTAACATTAGAAACTCAGGTCTTGCTCATGAGGAACAGCTGAGGCAACTGGGTGGGTTTAGTTTGGAGAAGAGAAGGCTCAGGGGGCACCTTATTGCTCTCTGCAGCTACCTTGAAAGGAGGATGGAGCCAGGAGGTGGCTGGTCTCTGCTCCCAAGGAACAAGGGATAGGACAAGAGGAAACGGCCTCAAGCTGCACCAGGGGAGGTTCAGACTGGGTATTGGGGACAATTTTTAACCTGAAAGGGTGGTCAGGCACTGGAACAGGCTGCCCAGGGCAGTGGTGGAGTCACCGTTCCTGGAAGTGTTCACACACTGTGTAGACGAGGCCCTCAGTGACATGGTTTAGTGGTGGCCTTGGCAGGTTGGGGAATGTTTGGACTTTATGATCTTAAAGGTCTTTTCCAGCCTAGTTGATTCTATGCTCAGACATGATTCTTTGCTCAGACAACTGGAAAATGACAAGGATTACAAATTCAAACAGGACAGGGGTGCATCTCCACTGAAGTGGAAGCAC